CAGGAAATGTGGCTATTTACTAAGTACAAACAACAACTATTTATCCATGAAAGGAAACTCCAGCTGACAATGGAATAATAACCTGAAAGCTTCCATGTGACCGGGCAGACAAGCCCCGCGCTCTGGTGGACAGCCGTGGAGAACCGCGCCAGCCAGGATGTGCTGGCACAGGTGTCCCGGGCTGCTGGGGCAAGGGGGGGATGAGCCCCGTATGTCGGCAGACAGCCGGGGAGGCTGGGTCGGCAGGAGGGCGCAGGCGTGGGCCTTCCAGGCGGCCTAGGAACCCCACGAGGGGAAGAATGGTGGAAGGGGAAGGAGTCAGGCACAGCACAGGATGCCCGATGGCCACGTCAGCGGTGCACCGTAACCTTTAAAAATGGTGGCCTCCATGTCCAGGGGGAGGCAGTGAGTCTTCGTGGCGATGGCTCCCAGGAGTGCAGGGGAGCCGATCGTGAAGGCTCATGGGTAAACCAGAGCGACAGAGCTTTGGAACCGGCAGCGGGGAAGACACCTCAACAGACCGTGACCCCCGTCGACCCCAGAACTGCGAGCTTGAGCCAGGATCAGGAAGACTTGCAGGGGAGTGGAGTGAAAGGACCAAGAACCCATTGTGGGGGTAACAGGAACCGTCGATGGGGTAGGAAGTGGCTCGGAGCAGGGCGTTAGGCCAGCAGGTTGGCGTGTTACAGGACACGGGTTGGCATCCCAACCAATAGGGAGAGGAGAGCATCATAATCCCTCCCCAGGGCTCAGGGCCCAGGTCCCCCTACCCCAACATAATCCCCGAGAGCAAAAGGCCCTCTCTTCGGGTGCGGTACAACGGGTACAACTGATACCGTGAGAACCCCAAACGAAAGGGGTAGGGACTCTCTCCACTGCGGGGAGGGCTACAGAAAAGAGGGGCACCCTCTGGACATGAGGGGGGGTCCCCTACATTCCAAAACTAATAAGTGTTTGGGGCTTAGTTTGTAAGCCCTGGAGCACTGACTGCTATTTTGTTCACTCATTGTACAACATGCAGCACAATGGGGTCTTGGTCCATGAGCAACACTCCAAGGCAGTACTGTAGGGTGAACCTCAGTTGTCCAGAACCCTTGGGATTGGACCGGTGCCAAACCAGAGAATTTGCTGGCCCACGAGAGGGTAATGCCACTAGACAACATTGACAACACTTCCACTGCTTACTGGGATCTTAGAAAACATGTAGGGGTAAATTAGAGCTAAATAACAGTGCAGAACACTAAGAGCCAGGACTGGTGACTGTAAACAAACTTTATGGGGCTATGGGAAACTTGGCCACACTCATGAAAACTGGACATCTGGCTAACCAAAATCATGCCGGATCACAGATGTTTCCAGATCAGAGAGCACCAGATTAGATACATTCAATCTATAATGTAAATAAATCCCTAGAGAAGAGTAAATAAGCAATCTATAAAAATGAAAGTGTGCTGCACCACATATTGTTTTGAAGAATTACAGAAGATAACAAAAATACAGTTATTAATAGCCAATGAAAAACTAAAATGTGCAGGCTAGGGATGTTAGCAAGTAGTCACCTACTCAACTGCCTGATTAGCATATTCTCCCCCCACCCTTGCTATCTCTGTAAGAGAGGTAGTAAAGGGGAGTGGGAAACAGGAGCCAGTTCTGGGGGGAGCCAGCTTAAAAATCAATTTCCCCCCAGCACCATGTCCAGGGTGCTGCCTGACTCCCACTTGCTGTCTCTATCAGAGGCAGCAGGAGGGGATGGGGGAAGCTGCTCAAGCAGCAGCCCATGTCTGCAGAAGTCCCAGCAGGGAGCTGGGCCCTCCCCATGGTCAGGGGCTGCTTCTGTAATCTCCACCAGGTGGATTTGACCTGGGACCTCTGAAGTAGAGTATAGTATCCTCTCCCCTCTGAGCTAAAAGCCCGCTGGCTCCCAGCCCATGCTGTAGAGGTCTTTTGATCTTAACTGTTTCTGTGGTCTAGGTACCACTTGCATTGCTCAGTAACCACACTAGGGCCGTGTCCAGACTCAGGGTTTTTTCGGGAAAAGTAGCCTTTTCCTGAAAAAACTTCCCCTGCGTCCAGACTCAAGCCGCGTTCTTTCGAAATTATTTCGAAAGAACGCGGCTTTTCTTTCGATGGCGGTAAACCTCAATTTACGAGGAAGAACGCCTTCTTTCGAAAGTTCCTCTTTCGAAAGAAGGCGTTCTTCAATGTAAAGAGGCCGTCTTCGAAAGAGAGCATCCAGACTCGCTGGGTGCTCTCTTTCGAAAAAGCGGATTTCTCTTTTGAAAGAAGCCTGCAGTCTAGACATAGCCTAGGTGCGTGGGTTACACTGCCACCATGCAGGCCCTGTTCACAGCAGCCAGGACTGGCAGTGCTCCGGGGCTGCTCCAGTGGCAGCTCCTGGCTGCAGAGAGCTCTGGCTGCTGTGAACAGGGGCTGCTAGACTCGGCGTTAGCCAGGACCAAGCAATCCCAGCTTACGCTAGTCCAAGATGCTGCTCTTACTACATTTAAAATGCAGAGTCGCAGTGCGGGTGGCTCCTGGAGCTGGTGCGAATTGGGACTGCTCAATCATGGCTCCAGAAGCTATTCCCGTTGCGGCTCTGCAGCGCGGCCCCTTACCGACTAAGCGTGTAGTTGATACTAATCGTATTAGTTACATGATTAGCCAGATAACAGCAATTTTACATCCTTCGTGCTGGCAAATGAGATATTATAACTGTTCCAACTGGGTTAGGAATAGTCTGAGAGCAATGGAAAGGAATGCAGATGCTGCTTTGGACACCAGTAGCAATTCCAGCCACAGACTTTCCTGCTACTCTCCTGCACTGAGGCAAGAGTAGGCCTGGTTCCAAGCAGCAGACAGAAATACAGGCTCTGTTACTGTTTGCAGCTTCTCAAACTTCTTCCTTTGCACGGTAATATTTAAAACAGCCCCGGAATATATACTGCATTCAAATGGGTGGCTGACTCCCAATGTATCCTTTCACAGTACCAAGTAGCTGCACAATGGTATGGCAGGAGAGAGCAAAGAGCAATCCTAGACAAGTGGAATACCAGAGGAAACAGAGTTACAGTTACCTGAAGCAAGAGGAAATGGACAAATGAATGAGGATTTCAACAGAGAAGCTGTGGTGCAATGAGTAATGTTGTGAAGGTGGCAAAATTTGAAGGACTAATGAGATATATGGAATGAGCCAGTTTACTGTCAAGGCCGAGACAGACAGGAGAAGCAGATGGAAGCTCTGCGTCAAGGAAGGAGGTTAAAGAGATGTTTAAGGGTGGTTTTGCTCAGCAACACACTTGGAGGTATTAAATAGACAGCAGATGAAGCAAAGGCATAAATTTAGATGGCTAAGCAAGTAGAGCAGGAACGATATCAAGTCTCGGAGAAGTAGCTGTGTTAGTCTGTAACTTTAAAAACAATGAGTAGTCCTGTGGAACTTTAGCAACTAACAAGCTCATAATACTGCATATATTTTTGTCAATCTCTAAGGCCTCATCAGTACTACACTGCAAGGTCGAAGAAAGAGACACAGTTCCAGCTACATAAATTACATAGTTGGAGTCAATGTATCTTACATCACATTTCTGCACCATCCACACAGCGGGAGCCGGCGGGAGCAAACACTCCCATCAGCTTCTCTTATTCCTCGTGAGGAACTGGAGTACCGATGCCAACGAGAGCACCCTGGGAGTTTGATCTAGGTCTACACTATACCCACTAAATTGAACCCTGGAAGATTGACTACGGCAGTGTCGATCTTCTGCATAGTGCAGATGTGCCCCTAGGTACCACAGCACTACATGTTTTTAAGATATCAAGATACACAAATCTATAAGTATCAGTGTGAAAGCAATGCTTAAGGATAAAGGTAACACATTTTGCTACAATTATGTTAGGCATCCAAGTTTGAACATTTCAGCCTCAGTACTTGGCATGGCATGCTCCCCAGATGTCTCAAGAAAATATTTTATCTAATACCATCCTAACCTATTCTAGCCAATTTGATGATGCTTTAACAGAATGACCCCCTTTTCACACTGGAGACTCGATAATAGAATTCCAGACTTTGGGTTGACCATATATGAGCATATAGCATACATGATTTGAACAGAATCCAGCTACTAGTTACTGCATACACATAGCGGTCCAGCACTGCTAAACCAAACAACAGTGTTGAAAGACATTAGCTCAAGGAGTCCAGCTAAAGATCCCATCCACCAGTGGAACAGGAGAAATCATCACAAGACAACACTACACTTCTGGTGAGATGAAGCTAAAGGATGGCACTTCATTCTTCCTGTCAATGTTGTAGTTATGTGAATGCCTGTGGGAGAGCACACAATAGTACAGCAGATCACTGCTCCTTTTTACTTGCTTTTCTACAAGGCTGTGCAAAACACGGAGGGTACATCTAGACTACACAGCTCCATCAACGGAGCCATGTAAAATAGTTTACTCGGCATAGTCAGTGAAGCGGGGATTTAAATAATCCCCACTTCATTAAAATAAAAATTGCCGCCACACTGTGCCGACGATCAGCTGATCAGCTAGATTGTACCCTGATTTTAGAAAGCAGGAGATTTGAATCCCATTCACTAGATTTTTTTTTGTTTTTGCTCACAAAACATTGCACAATTATACAATATTAAGTGTCACTGAATTCTATAAAAATCTAGGGTACTCATAACTTCCAAATGAGATCTCTCATAAAGGGTTTTCCCTCAAATTACACATATTCCATCTCAGTTCATTTTGCATTTTTAATAAACCAGGCAAAAGACTGTCTTCTAGTGTACATTTGTCTAAAAAAAAATAAATATGTAAACTTTTTATTGGAGGACAATAAACGGCTGCAGGTTTCTGTAGAATAATATCACCTAACTGCTTATACTACATACTACTTTGCATCATTAAATCACAAGTGCTATATGAAGGAGGTCAAAAGGTCTCTTACTTTTAGAGAGAAGAAAACTGAAGCACAGAGAGGTGAAGGGACTCACCCAAGGTTACCAGCAGCCAGTAACAGTTAAGCACAGAACCCAGGTCTCCTCAGTCCTTGTCTACTGTTGAGAAATGTCTTTCTGGGATATCTCCTCACACCACTGCAGTATCTGTATATTCAAAATCACAATATACTATTTGTAATACATATCTGCTCCAAATGTAATAGAAACGTATCTGCCTTGCATAAATCATACGTGACAGCACATTAGGTCTTTTAAATAACATTGTGAACACCAGGAAAGAACCCATTTTTCATGTTGTTATTAATACGATCCAAGTTACATTACCTATCCTCCTACTGATTCCATTCGATCAGATGCATCACAAGCACATGCAAGATTTTTCAGCCACGAAGGGTAGCACATTTCCTAAGCAATGGAAAGACCTACCACTCAGATCTTTGCTGACACTGGTGACTTATGCAGACCAAAGGAAAGACAAAACAGTAGCTCACTTCTGTTTCATGGAGACTTCTTACAACACCCTTCCCACAGTTGCTAAAAACCTCATGGGCAAAAGCCCACAGAAGCATCCAATCTTTGGCATTGCTCTTGCCCGTGAGGTCTCCACCTTGTTCATTTCAATGAGAGAGTAAATCTGTAAAGGTAACAATTTAAAATGTCAACAGAGTTCACCGCTCATTGTTGTTCATTTTTGCTACTGTGCTTATCCTGCAAATCCTATCTGCCTTCCACACTTCTCTTGGGGCCAAAAAGCCTGAACATCTTCCTGCTCAACTACAAAAACCACCTGTTTTTCTCACTCAAAAGTAGGATGCGTTATCAGCTCCCAAATTCTTTGGCATGTCCCAACTTGCAGGACAGTGTAAAATAATGGATGCACAGTACTATGAAAATAAAGTCCACGGAGATTAGTGTATGGACTGTATTATTACATATTCAATTTAAACTACAACCCTGTATTTTTAAATATAAATTAGACAGAATTTCCAGCCTGCCAGATCAGAGTGGTACAGCATCCAGGAACTGTTTTGCACAGCAATGATACAATGTGTTGCTGAGCCTTGGTGAGGAGTTACAAGGGCTTTTATTTACTCTGTCATAAATGCTGAGTGAAATTGTGTGCCGCTGAATGGAAATGGGTCTGAGTGATCAAAGATATGAGTCTTTCTTGTGGGCCTGAAAGCAGTCATTCCAGTATCCTGTGGGAGCGAGTGCTGTATGCAGGTGCCAGCAGCCAGGAAAGCACTATCGCCAACAAACTCAAGTTTTAACCTCAAGGTAGGTAGTTTCATTGTTCCTGAGGAACACAGATGTTGAAGGATGAGGTCCTGGAGGCTGGCTTCAGCTTAGTAGGCATTTCCCTTACCTTGCGGCACAAGAGAGGATGCAATTATGGTCACACTGTCTAGTCCTATATGGAAGGAGTCTAACTTTTCCTTTTTCTAGGCATTTACTGTGTCTTGTCCTGAAAGACCTAGAACATGCTTCTCTCCTACTTAAGTTAATGTGTTCTTGGACAACTCATAAGGTCAGGCACATTTCACCAGGGACTGAGGATGCTCATATGAGGATCATTCAAAATCAGGTCCTATAGGGCACAACTTGTTGGAAACCCTTTTCCTTTTGGAATGAAGAGCTAACTTGTGGCCAAACTAACCTAGTATCATTTTGGAAAAAAAAATAATCCAAGCTTTTTGGAATAAACTGGATGAAGAAAATAAGTGAAAGCTTTATGTTGTAAATGATGACTGTCTGCCTGGAGAGTTTGATCAAAAGGATACTTGTGGTAACTGAATCAATATTTCACAGAGCTGTTTATAAAATTTCACACATTTCCATTTCACATTTATCCATATTTTCACCTGGGTTAAAGTTTTAATGGCCTCCAGAATTTACGTCTCAAATTGGCAAATAACTTCTTTGTCACTCTTATTCATTCTCAGTTATTCCCCCTTCTTCAAATAGTCCAGAATATCCTTCTAGATGTATATGACAATGTATATGAATCCATGTAAAGATACTGAAATGGCTCCGATGCTTCTCCCTCCCCAGGAAAGTCTCTCCAGCAGCAGTGTATTTTGTGGAGACTGTATTTCCAGCTTTCTTAGAGGGAATTGAGTTAATGAACTGAATTAACATCTTCGACATAGTTGAAATTAACCCCCACACAGAGCCCTACATGCCACACAAGCCCTACTTAAGCCCTTACCGTGCAATTTAAGTGGTGCTAAGGACCTTGGAGGAGCCCTCTGCATTCAGCTGAACTTCATCTTATTATCATAGCAACAAGGCCTGGATCTGTACTCAAGAAATATTGTGTCAATAGTAATTAACTCTCAAGTATTTTCTCTTTCCTGTCCCACTATAGTTTTTTTTAATTTAGAAAATACTTTTCCTGGAATAGTTTATTAATCCCTTTTAATTTACTAATTTAACTTAATAATTTTGCCTGAAATTCTCCATATTTTATTCTTTCTCCCTTTTATATATTTAGCTTCCTTGTTTAATTTGTCAACTAACCTCTTCACGTAGGATTAAATAATCTTCATTGTGTTGCAACAGAGTTCAATGCAACTGAATGGAGAGAAGAGACAAAGGTGGTTCTAAATCACTTTTTCCATTCCCACTACTCAATTCTGAAGCTGATCCAGCCTCCAGTGCAAGCTGGAATGGCTTGAGGGCTGCTCTAACTAGTGCCAGTTTATAATAGGCCTTAAGGTCCATTACATGCTAGCAAGGCTCACAAGTGCTGAGTGTGCTCCCGCTTTGCCACATATTCTATTCTGTGTAGGTTTTTGTACCATGCTCATCAATACAGTATTAGCCACCTTACAGTATCATATTAAAAAACTCAACTGATCTATATCATATGTTTGCTTTCTAATCCTCCCTCCAGGAGAGGAAGAGTGTTTTGTCTTAGTTGAAATTTGTTAAAAATATACATAGAGCCCATTATACTGGTGGGGATAATGGGAGGAAAAGACTGGGACAGGAGAGGCTGACGTACAGCCAATATCACCAGCTTTACATCAGCTCCCTATTCATGACTCATTATAAAACAGTCCATTTCATTAGGGATGTTAAGATGTGATTAACTGGCTAATTGAGTAGTCGATAGAATTTTTATCAACTACTCGATTAGTCAATAAAGGAAGACAGCCCAGCTTAGTCCCGGCTCGCGTCAAGTCCGGGACCTATCCCCACTGTGCCTCTGCATTTTAAATGTAGTAAGAACCGGACTGCCTGCCTAATTCCTTAAAACTTGCATAGCAGCCATTATGATTCAAGTCAAGGAAGAACTGTTGCCACCTTCTATCACTCATCAATGTAACGCCCCTCTCCACCTGGCTACCTTCTTTCATGCCAATCTGCTTACAGGTTTTGATGGATAGGTCTGGGTTCTTCTGGATCCCGCCACCCACTCAACTTTATTTTTTCCGATGGATTTATTTGGCGGTGCCTCCACCTCCCTCACTCCTTCCTGGCAGGGTCACCAGGGCAGGTTGGGAGGAAAATTCTAACCCAGGGTAATCCCCACGTACTTGCCAGATAGTTGGAGACTCTAAGAAAATAACACATACACTATATTAAACACAATTATATTAAACAGGAGACAAATATAACATAACAGGGTAAAACACTATTTTTAGGTTCACTGGTGTCCAGCAACTGTAAGATGAGTGTCCCCTTGGTACGTGTATTTTGTTGGGGCCCTTGATAATTTATGACCCCAAAATTCTTCTCTGCGGTGGTTTAGCAGTGGAGCTGACTTGGTCCAGTACAGTCCAAAGGACTCATGAGCAGGAGAAGGCAGTAAATCCCTCCACAGGTTTAATGCGCAGCAGGTAACAAAATCCCCAAACAAATTCCCTGACTTACTAACTAAAAGATGCTGCACTCACACACTCCATGGATGAGCCTCAGGTTCAGAGATGACTCAGTCACTGGAGAGGGCTGATCTCTTCTGGCAGGGATCCTCTTCAGGCAGGAATCAGGCTGCTTTGGTCCCAGAATTTCCCCTCACCACAAAGGGGTGAAAGGCTCAAGGTGCAGGTTACACAAATGCACTAAAATTCAAACTGTAATCTCCTACCCCAGCATTCAGACACACACACAGCAGGCAGCAGCCCTGAACTAGCAGACAGAGCAGAGCTGACCACGTGGTGACTGGTCTCACCCAAGGAGCCAGACTGCCAACTCAGCCTGGCTGGGGAAGCCTCCCAGCAAACTCTACAAACTAGGAATCAACAGTGGAGAAATAAAACCCAGCTGAGGGATCCTGCCTTCAGGTCCCTAGAGGATAGTTCTCAGGGGGAAACCCTGCATGCAGGCCTGAGGCTTACTAGCTCCCATACAGCCAGTCCTCCCCTTGCCCTGGCTGGCTCTAGACTCCTTAAACAAAGACTTCTCCTCCACCTCCTGAACTCCCTGGGGGTTGCCGGGAAGACTCTGTCCCTGGTAGGGAGGGGGAGCCAAGGCAAACTCAGTGTGCCTCTCCCAGAGCTGCCAACAGACAGCCCCAGGAATCCAGGTAATCTCCTTGGGGATTATATCAGCTATTCCAAAGTGGACAGATAATATAAAGGCTAAATTATGGGAAGGACTTCTTCCTGCCACTGCAGTATTTGCCTCCCCTATAAACTCACTTGATTTCTTATTTGATTTATTTTCTTCAAATCCAGATGTAAGTACAAAACAAAGAGCTACTCACATAATGTCCCATTCTTATACTCCTCTTATGCCTTTAGCTTAATTTGTCCCGTGCAAAATGTTACAGGCAGTCCCCAGGTTACGTACAAGATAGGGACTGTAGGTTTGTTCTTAAGTTGAATCTGTATGTTAGTCGGAACTGGCGTCCAGATTCAGCCGCTGTTGAAACTGATCAGCGGCTGATTCCAGGAAGCCCAGGGCAGAGCAACTCTGCCTCGGGCTTCCTGTAGTCAGCCGCTGGTCAGTTTCAGCAGCGGCTGACTTGGGGATGCCTGGGGCAAAGCAACTGGGGTGCTGCGGGACCAACCGACAGCGCCCCAGCTGCTCTACCCCAGGCATCCCCAAGTCAACTGCTGCTGAAACTGATCAGCGGCTGATTCCAGGAAGCCCAGGGCAGAGCAACTCTGCCTCGGGCTTCCTGTAGTCAGCCGCTGGTCAGTTTCAGCAGCGGCTGACTTGGGGATGC